GGTACTGACTACCAGGTTAGTGTGGTACTGACTACCAGGTTAGTGTGGTACTGACTACCAGGTTAGTGGGGGTACTGATACCAGGTTAGTGTGGTATGATACAAAGGGTTTGTGTGGTACTGACTACAGGTTAGTGTGGTACTGACTACCAGGTTAGGTATTTGGGACTGATACAGGTTAGTGTGGTACTGATACCAGGTTAGCGTGGTACTGACTACCAGGTTAGTGTGGTACTGACTACCAGGTTAGTGTGGTACTGACTACCAGGTTAGTGTGGTACTGACTACCAGGTTAGGTATGGTACTGACTACCAGGTTAGTGTGGTACTGACTACCAGGTTAGTGTGGTACTGACTACCAGGTTAGGTATGGTACTGACTACCAGGTTAGTGTGGTACTGACTACCAGGTTAGTGTGGTACTGACTACCAGGTTAGTATGGTACTGACTACCAGGTTAGTGTGGTACTGACTACCAGGTTAGGTATGGTACTGACTACCAGGTTAGTGTGGTACTGACTACCAGGTTAGTGTGGTACTGACTACCAGGTTAGTGTGGTACTGACTACCAGGTTAGTGTGGTACTACCAGGTAAGTGTGGTACTGACTACCAGGTTAGTATGGTACTGACTACCAGGTTAGTGTGGTACTGACTACCAGGGTTGGTATGGTACTGATACCCGGTTAGTGTGGTACTGACTACCAGGTTTGTGTGGTACTGATTACCAGGTTAGTGTTTGGGACTGGGCTAACAGGTTAGTGTGGTACTGACTACCAGGTTAGTGTGGTACTGACTACCAGGTTAGTGTGGTACTGACTACCAGGTTAGTGTGGTACTGACTACCAGGTTAGTATGGTACTGACTACCAGGTTAGTGTGGTACTGACTACCAGGTTAGGTATGGTACTGACTACCAGGTTAGTGTGGTACTGACTACCAGGTTAGTGTGGGTTTCTGACTACCAGGTTTGTGTGGTACTGACTACCGGTTAGTATGGTATGATACCAGGTTAGTGTGGTACTGACTACCAGGTTAGTATGGTACTGACTACCAGGTTAATGTGGTACTGACTACCAGGTTAGTATGGTACTGACTACCAGGTTAGTGTGGTACTGACTACCAGGTTAGTATGGTACTGACTACCAGGTTAGTGTGGTACTGACTACCAGGTTAGTGTGGTACTGACTACCAGGTTAGTGTGGTATGACTACCCGGTTAGTGTGGGTACTGACTACAGGTTAGTGTGGTATTGATACCAGGTTAGTGTGGTACTGGACTACCGGGTTAGTATGGTACTGACTACCAGGTTAGTGTGGTACTGACTACCAGGTTAGTATGGTACTGACTACCAGGTTAGTGTGGTACTGACTACCAGGTTAGTATGGTACTGACTACCAGGTTAATGTGGGAATGATACCAGGTTAGTATGGTACTGACTACCAGGTTAGTGAGGTACTGATACCAGGTTAGTATGGTAAATGACTACCCGGTTAATGTGGTACTGACTACCAGGTTAGTATGGTACTGACTACCAGGTTAGTGTGGTACTGACTACCAGGTTAGTGTGGTACTGACTACCAGGTTAGTGTGGTACTGACTACCCGGTTATTGTGGTACTGAATTTCCAGGTTAGTGTGTTATGACTACCAGGTTAGTGTGGTACTGACTTTCAGGTTTTGTGTGGTACTGACTACCAGGTTAGTATGGTTTCTGACTACCAGGTTAGTGTGGTACTGAGTACCAGGTTAGTGTGGTATGACTTTCCAGGTTAGTGTGGTACTGACTACCAGGTTTTGTGTGGTACTGATACCAGGTTTTGTGTGGTACTGACTACCAGGTTAGTGTGGTATGACTACCAGGTTAGTGTGGTACTGACTACCAGGTTAGTGTTGGTATGACTACCCCGTTAGTGTGGTACTGACTACCAGGTTAGTGTGGTACTGACTACCAGGTTAGTATGGTACTGACTACCAGGTTAGTGTGGTACTGACTACCAGGTTAGGTATGGTACTGACTACCAGGTTAGTGTGGTACTGACTACCAGGTTAGGTATGGTACTGACTACCAGGTTAGTGTGGTACTGACTATCAGGTTAGGTATGGTAATGACTACCAGGTTAGTGTGGGGACTGATACCCGGTTAGGTATGGACTGACTACCAGGTTAGTGTGGTACTGACTACCAGGTTAGGTATGGTACTGACTACCAGGTTAGTGTGGTACTGACTACCAGGGTAGGTATGGTACTATCAGGTTAGGTGTGGTACTGACTACCAGGTTAGGTGTGGTACTGACTACCAAGTTAGTGTGGTACTGACTACCAGGTTAGTGTCGTACTGACTACCAGGTTAGTGTGGTACTGACTACCAGGTTAGTGTGGTGCTGACTACCAGGTTAGGGTGGTACTGACTTCCAGGTTAGTGTGGTACTGACTACCAGGTTAGTGTGGTACTGAATACCAGGTTAGGTGTGGTACTGACTACCAGGTAAGTGTGGTACTGACTACCAGGTAAGGTGTAGTACTGACTACCATGTTAGTGTGGTACTGACTACCAGGTTAGTGTGGTACTGAATACCAGGTTAGGTGTGGTACTGACTACCAGGTAAGTGTGGTACTGACTACCAGGTAAGGTGTAGTACTGACTACCATGTTAGGTGTTGTACTGACTACCATGTTAGGTGTGGTACTGACTACCAGGTTAGTGTGGTACTGACTACCAGGTTAGTGTGGTACTGACTACCAGGTTAGTGTGGTACTGACTACCAGGCTAGTGTAGTACTGACTACCAGGTTAATTTGGTACTACCAGGTTAGTGTGGTACTGACTACCAGGTTAGTGTGGTACTGACTACCAGGTTAGTGTGGTACTGACTATTAGGTTAGTGTGGTACTGACTATCAGGTTAGTGTGGTACTGACTACCAGGTTAGTGTGGCACTGACTACCAGGTTAGTGTGGTACTGACTACCAGGTTAGTGTGGCACTGACTACCAGGTTAGTGTGGTACTGAGTACCAGGTTAGGTGTGGTACTGACTACCAGGTTAGTGTGGTACTGACTACCAGGTTAGTGTGGTACTGACTACCAGGTTAGGTGTGGTACTGACTACCAGGTTAGTGTGGTGCTGACTACCAGGTTAGTGTGGTACTGACTACCAGGTTAGTGTGGTGCTGACTACCAGGTTGCTGTGGTACTGACTACCAGGTTACTGTGGTACTGACTACCAGGTTACTGTGGTACTGACTTCCAGGTTACTGTGGTACTGACTACCAGGTTACTGTGGTACTGACTACCAGGTTAGGTGTGGTACTGACTAGCAGGTTAGGCGTGGTACTGATTACCAGGTTAGTGTGGTACTGACTACCAGGTTAGTGTGGTACTAACTAGCAGGTTACCTGGAATTTTACCTGGAGAGAGTTCCGGGGGTCAACGCCCCCGCGGCCCGGTCTGTGACCAGGCCTCCTGGTGGATCAGAGCCTGATCAACCAGGCTGTTGCTGCTGGCTGCACGCAAACCAACGTACGAGCCACAGCCCGGCTGGTCAGGAACCGACTTTAGGTGCTTGTCCAGTGCCAGCTTGAAGACTGCCAGGGGTCTGTTGGTAATCCCCCTTATGTATGCTGGGAGGCAGTTGAACAGTCTCGGGCCCCTGACACTTATTGTATGGTCTCTTAACGTGCTAGTGACACCCCTGCTTTTCATTGGGGGGATGTTGCATCGTCTGCCAAGTCTTTTGCTTTCGTAGTGAGTGATTTTCGTGTGCAAGTTCGGTACTAGTCCCTCTAGGATTTTCCCGGTGTATATAATCATGTATCTCTCCCGCCTGCGTTCCAGGGAATACAGGTTTAGGAACCTCAAGCGCTCCCAGTAATTGAGGTGTTTTATCTCCGTTATGCGCGCCGTGAAGGTTCTCTGTACATTTTCTAGGTCAGCAATTTCACCTGCCTTGAAAGGTGCTGTTAGTGTGCAGCAATATTCCAGCATAGATAGAACAAGTGACCTGAAGAGCGTGGTACTGACTACCAGGTTAGTGTGGTACTGACTACCAGGTTAGTGTGGTACTGACTACCAGGTTACTGTGGTACCGACTACCAGGTCAGTGCGGTACCGACTACCAGGTTAGGCGTGGTACTGACTACCAGGTTAGTGTAGTACTGACTACCAGGTTAGTGTGGTACTGACTGCCAGGTTAGGCGTGGTATTGACCACCAGGTTAGTGTGGTACTAACTACCATGTTAGTGTGGTACTGACTACCAGGTTAGTGTGGTACTGACTACCAGGTTAGTGTGGTACTGACTACCAGGTTAGGCGTGGTATTGACCACCAGGTTAGTGTGGTACTGACTACCAGGTTAGTGGTACTGACTACCAGGTTAGTGGTACTGACTACCAGGTTAGGGGTACTGACTACTAGGTTAGTGTGGTACTGACTACCAGGTTAGTGGTACTGACTACCAGGTTAGTGGTACTGACTACCAGGTTAGTGGTACTGACTACTAGGTTAGTGTGGTACTACCAGGTTAGGCGTGGTATTGACCACCAGGTTAGTGTGGTACTGACTACCAGGTTAGTGTGGTACTGACTACCATTTTACTGTGGTACTGACTAGCAGGTTAGGCGTGGTACTGACTACCAGGTTAGTGTGGTACTGACTACCAGGTTACTGTGGTACTGACTACCAGGTTAGTTAGAATTTTTTTGCACACATAAATTTTACAGGCTAAAAGCTGTCATTCCACCTCAGCTTTATGTACGAGGCAAAAATAAACTTACTCGAGAACTTACGCAGGGTACTGCGTACAGCAATGTGTGGAAATTACCTAAGATAACCCCAAAAAAACTCCGTGACTTATATTTACTGGGGTCTTTGTGTTACATACACGAGTTTGAATCCTATTTTAAGTATTTGGGTATTCTTGACCTTTGGTGAAGAGATGACATGCAGCCTTAATGACCCGCTGAATGGCCAATAATCTTTACGTTCAGTTAACCAACTAGTTTACTTACCTGTTGGTTCTAACAGCTAGTACACTGAGCTATGCCACCACCAGTGTCAGTATCTGGCACTGTCTCCACCACAACCACCTCATCCTCCACTCTCTCTTCTCACATTCTACAAAATCACTGTTTTATTCTTCTCCCTCGAGCTCTACATTACTAATTTATATAATATACATATCCAGAATACGCGAATGGTGATGAGTGAAAGGAAGGTTGGTGAGGAGCAGTGCCTGTGTGTGCACGGCATAGAAGCCTCATGTGTACACTAAGAGGACAATCAATATAAGTTTCCCCCAGGCACTGTGCCAAATGCCTTATAGAAAACGAGCCACAGAGTATTATAGAAGATGTTATAATATGGGTAAATTTTATTTATAGGTATCTTTCCCAGTGTTTCATTTTACATTCAAATACAAATTATCATGTTCGTTTAACTCATATTGCATTCCTCAAAAACTCAAAATCACGTATAAAATTTGATCTTACAAAAATATGCAAAACCTGAAGGTCGTGCAAAAGATGGCTAGATGTATCCGTAACCTATATCAACGTAGAGTAAGAATTATTATTAGCCTGCCCGAAATGCCTAGGCATACCAGTAGCCTTCTTTGTAATTAATATTTTATAACATGTAAACCACACATTGTAAGCTTTACAGGGAAATAAACATTTTGATTTGATTTGATTTGATTTGAAGGAAAATGTTACTCGGATTATAAACTAAGAGGATCAGTAAACCAAACCAATATAGCCACATGTCTGGCTTATTTCCACTGGGTCCTTCGATCCTCTTACCCAGGATACAACTCACAGCAGTCAGCTAAAACAGAGATATATACTTACTGCTAGGTGAACAGGGGCAACAGGTGAAAGGATGCATGCCCCTTGTTTCCACTTGTGCCTGAATCATGCCCCTTGTTTCCACTTGTGCCTGAATCATACCCAGGTTCTTTAGATGTGAGCCGAAGGTGCTACCACTTGAGCCGCGAGCCACCACATGGATGCAGGGATACATGTAGGTGGGAATAAATTTCAAAAATATGAAATGTTAAGAATGGCAGCATGAAATAGTTGAAATTAGCACTTATACAGGCAGACATCAACACCTATACAGGCAGACATCAACACCTATACAGGCAGGCATCAACACCTATACAGGCAGGCATCAACACCTATACAGGCAGACATCAACACCTATACAGGCAGGCATCAACACCTATACAGGCAGACATCAACACCTATACAGGCAGGCATCAACACCTATACAGGCAGACATCAATGCCTATACAGGCAGGCATCAATGCCTATACAGGCAGGCATCATTGTCTATACAGGCAGGCATCAACACCCACCCAGGTATCAACACCTACACAGGCAGGCATCAATGCCTATACAGGCAGGCATCAACACCTATACAGGCAGGCATCAATGCCTATATAGGCAGGCATCAATGCCTATACAGGCAGGCATCAACACCCACCCACCCAGGTATCAACACCTACACAGGCAGGCATCAATGCCTATACAGGCAGGCATCAACACCTATACAGGCAGGCATCAACACCTATACAGGCAGGCATCAACACCTATACAGGCAGGCATCAACACCTATACAGGCAGGCATCAACACCTATACAGGCAGGCATCAACACCTATACATGTAATCTGAATACCTATACAGTTATAAAAATGGAATGGATTGCCAAATTACATCATAGCCAACAAGAGCATAAATCAAATCAAAACTAAACAACAAAAAAGTACCAAATAGAAGACTACTGAGATTATTAACCCAAGAAAGCCAAGCAGAGTGGCTTATTTCTACTTAGGTGTTGTCTCTAGTTTAGTTCTTCCAGTGAGAGTGAGAGAGAGAGGAAAGGTTTAAGATACATAAAGATGGAGAGAATAACATGAGTGAGCAGGCATTTCCTGAAAGTTGAAGTGAAGATCTTATCATATTCATTGGGAACTGCCAAACCTGTTTGGAACCAAACGAAGCCTAGGGAATGTGAGGCAATCAAATCCAACTCATGAAGGGGAGAGTGCCTCTGAGTCACTAGGTCATGAGCCCTTCACTATGTGAAAGGGGTGAAGGTGTTTGGCAGCAGATGGGGCCATAGATAGGTGTGCACACAGGTTCACTTTCTTTCAGTTTAACAGGTTTAACAGACACACATACAATGAAACAGATCGACTCTCAAGCAAGTATACTATGATCATAATCCAGGAAAAGCACCATAAAGGCTTGATAAATGTTAGACAGTGTGGTCTGATCCAAGGAAAGAGGGGGGTGACTCCATCTTCTCAAACCATGAGCTCTTTACTAGAATCAAAGCACCCTTTTGAAGACTTCAGAGACAGGACCATGCTAAACATCACTTAGAGATGGGACCATATTGGCATCACTTAGATAGTTGACAAACCACTACAAAAGTCATAGGTTACTGGCAGCAGGTAGCCTGAACCTTACCAACAGTCAAAGCTGCAGAGAACATCCTATCCACTGTTGCCTGCTGGGCTAAAGCAACACACACCCCTTCCCTACTGCAACACAGTCTTTTCCTTGGAGGTGAAGATATTTGAATAAAGCACACCTTGAGCTAGATATAGGCTGATAAATTGGACACATGTGAAACACTTGGGTATCCACAATAATTTATCTAATTTATCAACTTGTCAATTCTCTGAACTATTTATCAAGATAAAGGCTACCAAATTAATGCACTTCTTCAGTAACCACTGTATTTGTAAGTGCAATGCCTGCCCATAGCTTATGTAGAACCTCTAAAGGTTACACAGAAATTATCACTGAAGATCCAACACTGCTGTAACCCATCTTTCCTGAGAGGTAGGAATGTAAACTTATAAAATACTGTGTCTAATCTTTATTATTATTGTGGTAGGAAATGTTTCAAATACAATAAAAAAGACTGTGCATTGCTTGAAAGATGTCTATTTTAATGCAAAAAATGTTTATTCCCAAGAGTGACACAAGATGTGAGACCCAGGTGCCAAGATGTGTGTGCTTCCTTGGAAAAATAAGGTGACAACACTGGGCACCGACACTGAACTTGACAAGAATGTGATTCACTTATTGCAATTACTGTACCACTACAAGATGTAAATTGACAACTTGTCTGTGAAATAAGAAAAATATGAGCATATTAAGAGATGCCACATTCAAAAGAGGCATTGGCATTTCTTGTCCTTATAATGGATTACAGTATTTTAATGTCTCTTAAGCTCACCATCTTGGCTTCATTATACTTCCCTCTCAACAAAACTTTTTTTTAATTCACTAAATGACAAATATTATCACAAAAGGTTAAATTATAAATGTGCTACTAACAAAATACACACCATAAGGCAATTTATACTGTATACCACAAAATACCCATCAATGTTAGTGTGAGCCAGGTTGATCTAACAGAGATGAAATATTAATGCTGGCAGTAAAATTGCTAAATTGGAAAGAAAAAACACTTAAAAGTAGATACATATATACAATAATTAAGAAATTTATACAACTTAACATAAGAGTTATGAGCATCAAAGAATAAAAGTTATTCCGTAAAAATTATCATTTTACTTATAATAAATTCCTTATCCAAGATAAAAATAAATGGCACTTTGAATAACAACAAATTAAATATTTATAAAAATTGACTAGCCCTTATATCCATCTCTGTAAAACAGCTCAGTGAAGAATCTCACGAAAATGAAGATGTCATTCTCACTATCAGAGACGACTTTCAATGATTGTATAAGACCTTAAAATTACAACCTCGCCCATTTCACAACAGTTTTTGCTAGCATGAATTATTATAGTTTCCTCAGCTTAAATTACACCCACGAATACTAAGTCATATTCTTATGAAATATGCCAAATACCTGAATATCACACAGACCAAGGACAGCACAGAGGAAGAACCACAGTCGAGAGATCCTTAGCCACTGTAATTTGCATAATGAGCTTTACACCACATCCATAAATGGTAACAAGTGTAAAGGAAGGAGACAATATAAATGAGCTGCATCTTGTTGATGTATCTAAAATTATTTGGTGCATGTAAATCTATAAGTAATTAGTAAGGTGCAGGAGAGCAAAAAACAGTTGGTTACTACACTTGTAGAGAAATTGCTTCCAACAGGGGGGAGTAAAGGAGCCATGGTCCCCCCCCCCTCTCTCTCTCTCTCTTTCCCACAGGGCTTGTATCATCCTAGTGTAGTCGCAAGCCATGGGAAAGAAAGAGGGGGTCATGACCCCCTTGTTGGAAGTAATTTCTCCACAACAACTTCAGAAGATAAACAAGAACTGCAGCCTCCAACTATTCTACTGCAAATATATAATACAAAAATTTTAATTAGCACAATAAGAAAAATACACAATATAAATTACAAAAACACTTAAAGTATTACTATACTGCATGTCAATATCAACCTGTAATTTTAACTTGTAAACAATACGATCATATTATTTTGGGAGTCAACCTAGGAAACTTATAAATAAGTACAAATCTAGCATTCAACAGATTTTTTATCTAAAATTCACACACATAATAAAACTTAAAAAGAATATATAAAACCAACAACATGCATCAAACTCAGTATTGTATACATATACTGTACAGTATATCACATTTGTATAAGCTATCATATCTGTAGAGTAGTGTATACTGATATGAATCAGATTCACTGTCAGTTATCATATCTGAAATATATATTTTTTTTTTACCTCAATGACTGTCTTTCAAGTCAGGATGACCCAAAGAAGAAAACACATTCACCAATATTCATTCAGTCAGTGTCTTGCCATAATTCTGTGTGCTGACATTACAATTCAAATTATGTACAATCTGAACCAGGAAGCTCATCTTACAACCATTCAACTAGCACTATACAAGTTGAAACTGAAATAATTTTTTTTTTTTCTTAACACAGTAGTCATCTCCCACCAAGACAGGGTGACTCAATAAATAAAATACATTCATCATCCTTCATTCAGTTACCATCTTTTCAGAAGTGTGCTGACATCACAGATTATCCTCCAACTGTAACATCCCCACCCATCCTTCAGAGTGCAGACACTGTCCTTCCCACATCCAGGACTCAAGTCTGACCAGCCAATTTTCCTGAATCAATTCATAAACGTTACCTTCCTCACACTCCAACACTTGTTTCCATTCACTACTACTACTACTACTACTACAGTGGACCCCCGCTTTACGATCAGCTCCCAATGCGACCAATTATGTAAG